AGCAGTGGACTGAAGTCTTGCTATTCTTGCCTTTTATACAAAAGATGACTTGTATTACAGAATCAAACTTAAATTACAGTGCAAAAAAAACAGAGTTGCTCTTTGCTCCTTCTGGATAGCAGTACCCAGGAGAAAATGGGGAAATAACGGGAACAAATGCTTCTAATCTTGGAGCAATTTTTAGCGCTGATGATGGTGTGTAAGAAAGAGATCTGATAGTCTTTTAGCCTGAAATCTACTTCAATGATAACAAGACATTGTAACAAACAGCAAAAGGCAGCAATACTGTTTTGTTCATATTTCTCTCTGTCAGCTGTGTTAGCTGCTACATATGTCTCCCCGAGTAGTAGATTACTAAATGCACTCAACCACATTTTTGCGAATCTCCTTTTCTGTCTCCCTTGAGAGATGAGCTAAAGATACATAGAGGAACAAAAGAAAATAATATCCTTTCCAGGAAAAGTTGCTTAATTCAAGCCAGTATGTCAATGAGGGATAAAATAAGGATCAGAACACAACTATATGCACAGATATTTGATGCAAGAGAACACCGGAAGCCCACATTGGTCTGACAGTAAAGGTTTGACATTTAAAAAACTAAAATATTTGTGGCTTGCAAAATGAGGAATGTAAAGTAGCTGTAAAAGATGAGGCCATACAGTACAGTGCCGTTAGGCTCAACTGATAACAGCAGTATGAACAGACCTGGCTTGCCATAGCCAAAAAGTCGGTCAACACAGGCATTGCACCAAACTGGAAAGGGAAGGAGATGGCGCAGGGAGAAAAAAATAAATAAACAGAAGAAACCTATGAAGAGGCAAAAGATAATATACTAATTTAAAACATGATTTTTTCGCTTTTGCATTTGCTTGCTGAAGGCGTCTCCTAGTTATGAATGCAGATCATAGGACTTTGCAAAGATAAAAGTTTGATCGAGATGATCTGAACTCCAAGACTAATTTCATATATAATAAGTACATGTCATTTCCCTACCCCCCCCCAAAATTTATGAACTCCAGTTTTACAAGATTTTCCAGTTTAAAGTATGGTGCCATCGATGGTTACCATCCCCCCAAGCCTGCAGAAAATACTGTTGGGTTGTGTCCTGACAATGGTGCATGTCCCTGGAAAATTTTATAAAACAAGGGCATTCAGATTAGAACAATACAGTTATCTAATAGTACAAGTGCAGAGGAATGTTAACATACGTCTACACTGCAGAGGTTTTGTGGGAACAGAATTTGCTTAACGTCCTATCATAAGGCAATAATTTACATTTATATTAGTGCCTTTTGTCCCAAAGTGACTTACTTGTGAAACCATTACACATGCAATAGTTGCTCTGCTCACCCCTGACATGCAGCCTCTTATGTAAATAAAAGATCTCAGAAAATACCCAGCAATAATTTAGGATAAGCAGAAAAAACTTATAGTAGGATTTTGGGGAGGAGGCATTCAGGGAGGTAGAGTGGAAACTACTTATGTTGGCAATAAACTATGAGACATACCTCTTGCTTGGAAGCACGCTGTCCTTTCCTTTTTTGTGTCCTTGCAACAAGATATTTAGCAGAATTTGCAGATTCATTGGGATCTGACAGGGCCATGCTGTTATGGCCTCAAACTTGCCACTTCAAGGCTATCAAACATGTACCTTATCGCCACCTCAGCCCCCCTATATGTATTTAAAATTAAGCTACAAATCTCTGCCGAATCAGGCTGCGGCACTGAAAAAGCAGGTTAATGTCATTAATCTTTAAAAACGTAGAAATGAACTCTGCTGTAAAGAGGACCTTTCTTCCTTTTTTCGTATTTTAAATAATCTGGCACTTTAACTAAACGCCACAAGTGGTTAGATCCACTTTTTGCAGCCTGCTCAAAGATAGCATGCCGTTTCTGAAAACTGTACTGGAGCATTATTTTACTATTGGTTTAAGGAAATTGGAAACCCCCTTTAAGTTGTAACAAAGTTTAGCTGTTCTTAGCATGTGGTTATTTGTCCAGAAAATCAGCAAAAGAGGTACAGTGGAGCATTACAAAAGGAGAATGGGTTCACTGCTAGTTTCAAAGCGGATAACCGTCCTTAGATTTAATGGAGGTAAAATTATGTCCTTTAAGTAGTAAGTCAATAAAATGTTTCCCTCCTATGGTGTGTAGTGGTGTGCATGGCGGTCTGAGTTTCTTTTGATTTTGGATTGGATTCTCTTAATATGACATTTCTTGTAAGTTTACATAATACCAATCATTTCAAGCCAAAGCAGAATGAGAGGCATCGATTTCTTCTTGTCGGTAAATTGTTAATTTTATAAGCAATCTGTCAACTTTCCCTTCAAATAATTTTCCTTCCTGAAGTTTAAAGGCTTCTGCCATGCTGTATGTTGCTTAGCCATGTGTGGCTTGAAACATTGCCTAACTACTAATGCATCCTGGCTCACACTTCCCAGCTTCTAGACCGTGGGCTTTTGCCTCTGATAACAAGTCTTGCAGAAGTAACAACGGGTTTCCATTGCACTGAAAAAATAAATACGGTTTGAAGTCACCTCCACCCCCATCTTAACGCACAAAGGAGCATATTCACTTCAGAGGGCTATGAATATTTTGACTGACTAACTTGGTAGCTTATCCGTGGCTACTTTTTAGATCTGCAGTATTTATAAATTCCAGAGGGTCTTAACACCTCCAATCTGATTACATTTGGAAAGGTTGCAGTGAAAGACTTCTGGCTGGATTCCATGTTTGTAAGAGGCTTCAGAAACTCCTCTGCGCGTGTGTCGACCGTACGAGTGTTGGATAGATGTTTGCAGTGACTGAAGTGCTTGGGATTAATCTCTCTCTTTTAATTGCCAGCCTTCATCTGTTAAGGCTTGGTGAGCATGCACTGGAAGTAAAACCCTACTTGTTACCTGGCTGTGTCTACAATTTGTTGAGGGTAGACAAATAGCTGAATAAGTAAGGAGTAGCTTACTCCAGAACCACTCAGGGCTCAACCTCATCTTCTTTAGACAAGTACACTCCCATTAGAGGGCAAATGAAAATAAATGGTTCAATGGAAATATACAAAACACTTTGTTTCAATTTTGATCCCAATGGGACTTGTTCCTACATAAGGAATCAAGCTTAAAAGGTTTGACTGTCAGTAAAACCCTTTTTTCATGTACATTCTAATATGATACCCTCCCCTCAAACTCTCTAATCTAAACCATTTCTTCTTTAAAGATAATGTTGCTGTCTCCATTTGTTCCAGTGCTGATAAGAAAAAAGTCAACCCAAATTGTTCAAATGAGACTGATCTTGTTTCTTTTAGTAGAGAGCGTTCCTTTTCCACTAATAATTTCTTTCTTTCTTTCTTTTTTGTCATCTCTCTAGTGGAATTACACGTTTTAGTGCTCTCTCTCAAGCATTTTGTGTCTTGCATAATGTCTAAGTAAAGCAGTTACTATGTAAATGTTTGCATATTCTTTTCTCTCTTCTAGACTGATTCATGGAGGGCAGCTGTTAAACGGATTGGCAGGTCCCACTGTGATGAACGCTGCTCCATTTCTCTCCACTACATGGTTTTCTCCAGATGAACGTGCCACTGCAACAGCTATTGCATCCATGCTCAGCTACCTTGGTGCAGCATGTGCTTTTCTTGTGGGACCTCTGGTAGTTCCATCTCCTAATGGAACATCACATCTTCCACTTGCCTCGGAAAGTAGCACGGAGCATATCAAGGACCGCATTGAAGCTGTCTTGTATGCAGGTACAGTAAAACTTCTATTCAGTATCTGATGTGCTGCTAGTATGTGATAACTACTACCCTCTAGTGGTTGGCCTGCCAATAAAACGGGCTTCTCCAGCAGTTGTCTGTCCTGAGTAGCAGAATCCAGAGCTATAGGAGGAGTTAAATTGAATCCCATGTGCCATGCATGAGTGTTACCCAACTGAACTGTCTTTCTGAATGTGGACACTAATTCTTTCTAAACGCAGTGTGTAGTCTAGCAGTTTGTATCTCCAGTTTTCCTAGGACAACTGCCTTTAGCTAGAGCTTTGTATTTTGGTGCAGAACATCCAGACCTTGTTGAACTTGAACGGTAAACCTCTCAACACTCACTCATGTGTTGCTGTATCATTAACTGTGGTGATAGAAATCTTTCAGCACTTGAGTTCTCATTTGTGGAAAATCAGTCCTCATGTAGGGCATAACTGTGTAAAAGGTTTTCCAAAGCGACTAATTGATAAGTATTAAAGACCATAACATTGGTATAAAAAAATCTCTTGATTTTAGTTTTTAACCAGAAAGTACATACCTCCCCTCTTCATACACATGCATAATAGTTATTATGTAGGAGCAATAATTTACTGAATAATACTCATTTATGAGCATTACAATTATAAAACACTAGCTTTTATTTACCCAGGCTGTTTCTTGAAGTGTTTTCTTTAGCAAGCCAGGTGATTTCTCAGGTTCTTCAAGAAACTCATTCTAGTCGTGTTCTGCAGCAAAGCCTTTTCTTTAAAGATGTGGTAAGTTCTAGTTAAAGGAACTTGGGCTTGATTCTCAGCCAGCATATGCTGGCATAGTTCCATTAACTTAAGTGGAGCCTCAGCATAGCATATCAGCTAAGAATTTGGGCATGTATTCTTTCCGGAGTGCAGTCAAGATAGATTACTGGCTCTTCCTTTTGGTTTAAATATTTCAAAAAAGTATCTAAAGATTTAATAGTATCTATATCTACAAGTAAGTGTGTGTGTGTGTGTGTGTGTGTGTGTGTGTGTACATACACACACCATACAGTTTTTATATAAGCATGTGTATTGAATCCTGTTGGCTCTTTGCAGTGCTCTGTGCCAGTCCATTCTTAATGTGGCAAGACTTCTTTTAGGTTAATAATCATTGGAGTTGATTATTCAATGCTGAAGTTGCATTACTCAGTGGGTGGCAGACTTCACCTTTCCTTTTGAGCAACCCCCTTTTTCCTAGACCGCACATACCGAAGGAGCAGGAAAGCAGATTTTTGGCCTGCAGCCTCGTTCAGAGGCAGATCCAATGTTGCATGCCATGGCAGTTCAAAGTGATGGTCAGCGAGAAAGGAATGCAGATGAAAATCTTTGTTCATAGTATTGCAATTCAGCATGTGTTTGGGGAGGAATAGCTGAAATGGAAATAAACCTCTAGTGACTAGAGGAGGAGTGTGCAGAGGGTAAGATGAATAACAATGGCTTGAAATGGAAGCAAAAAGGGTTTAGATTAGACCTGAGGAAAAACTTCACCATTTGAATAGTGAGGTGATACAACAATACAATAGACTGTTTAGAGAAGTTGTTGGAAACTCTTTCATTGCAACTTTTCACAAAGAATTTAGGTAAGCTTTGGTCCGAGATAATGTAAGAACAGCAGTGCCTAGAGCGTCCTGGGAAGAGCAACACTGGGAAGCCCGGGACAGCCCACGCACTTGTTGCTTAGAGCTCTGCAGAAGACCTCTGCAGCCCAGAGCAGGCGGAAATTGCAGAGGACCGTGCTCAGCTGCAGGAGAACGAAGCAGAGCTCTACAACTGGCTTAGTTCCAAAAGAAGATTACAGGACCTGGGATGAGTTGATGGAAGGGATAGGACTCCTTTTCTGTCATCCTTTTCCTTCAGTGAGGATATGTGATGTCTAAAGGTGCATTTTTGCAAGTTATAGTGCAAAGTGGAGGGTTGCGAGTTCTCCCTCTCCCATGCTTCTTGGCTTTGGTTGCTGCATGGGCCAAGGAAGGATTTTTTTTTTTTTCCTTGTCTTTTCCTATGGGCGTCAGGGTTTTGTTTTCTTTCATCTTCCTTAGAAGCACTGGGTGTTGGCTGCAGCTAAGGCTGAGGATTTTGACTAGAGCATGTTAATGATTCCCAAAAACCTAGCGGTTCCTAGTTGAAGGGCTTTGCTCCTATGCTCAGGGTCAAAACAAACACCACCCTTTGCATAAGGAGGGAATTTTACCCGACAGTCAGATTGTCGTGGGATGGAGTTGTCTTCTCAGAGGGTGGGGTTTGCTGGGGGGGGGTGCCAATGGCATGGTGGTGTTGCAGCATGACATGAGGGTGGCCTGTGCAAAGCACCTACACAGGTGTGAAGGGGGGAGCTTCTGGCTTGTGGGGCTACCATGGTGGGTGGCCAGGGAGGAAGTGTCACGTGATACAGTGTGCAGCATGTGCCTGGGCTGCATGGGCTGGGGTCACGCATGTTGCACAGCCCTGCGTTAGACAGACATTTGTTTAGGATGGTTTGGATAGGGATGATCCTCCCTTGAGCAAGGGGCTGGGCTAAGTGACACTCTGGGGTCCCTTCTAGCCCTGATTTTTCTCTGGTTCTATAAAGACTGCACGTATTAAGTAGGTCCTGTGAATTAGAGGACATTAGCTTGAGATTCATAGATTGTAAGGGGCTGGAAGGGACATCAGGTCCAGCCTCCTGCACCAAGCAGGAAAAATGACAGCGAGGTGACTGTCCAGTCTTCTCTTGAAGATGTCCAGGGTAGGCGATTGCACCACCTCTGGAGGGAGCTTATTCCACAGTCTGGACACCCCGACTGTGAAGAAGATTTTCCCAATGTTGTGGGAAGTATAATATTTACTCCCCCAAGAAGTTTTGGGTGTCCACAGTGGAAGTCTTGCTTCTCCTGCCCATGTAGACCAGCAATCTGTGCATCTTTCTTCTTCCAGTGGGGAGGATTTCCTGGGCATATTCTTCAGAAAATCATATGCGGGCTTTTGGTGGCTAAGCTAAAAGATGCATGCATCGAGGCCAACGGCTTGGTGTGCACCAGCTGTTTAAAAGGCGCTCCACATTCATTTTGCCGGACCCACAACTTGGCACGGCTCTAGAGAAGCAATCTGTGTGAAGAATTTAACAGTAGGTAGAATAAATCCTCCCCGTTCCTAGGATGGGAAAGATTTTAGAAGAGTATATCCATCATATCAGTGGGTGGTATTGTCACAGGTGCAGAAGTGTTGCATAGCATTTCTCAAATTTCCTGGAGAAATATGGCATAAGGCAGCTGTAAGTTGTTACTTTCTTCCGCACACTTTTAAACAGGAGCTGGCTTCCTCTGGTAACTACACCTGCTGTGTGGGTGATGTATCACATGAGGTGAGACTTGCTCTGAAATTTTAGCTCTTTTGTACCACCCGATCAGTGAAAAGGAGGTGGACCCTGCATGGTGCTGGCTAGCAGAGAGTTGCCCTTTTGATGGGGAAGCTCTCAACTAATTTAAAATGGGCAGAACTGGCCTGAGAGATGATCTCCTTATCAAATCCCAGCAGAGCACAGGATGCATGTGATGTGAACAGGAGTGGGATGAGATGAGGCCTACTACCAAACCGGGGAACTGTAACTTGCTCCCTCTTGGGTGTGTCCTTCTGCACTTTCTTGTACCAAGTGGAGCTCAGAAGTGAGAGCTAATTACTCCTGGTGTGCAATTAGTTTCTCTATAGTCCTCTACATCTGCAGACATGAAACACTTTGCAGAGGTAGTTAGTATTATTATTCCCATTTAACAGATGGTGGGGAAACAGAGCAGCCAGGGACTTGTCTTGGATCACACGGGCAGCTAATAACAGTAAGAGTTGAACCCAAGTCTCCCAGCCCCCTGTTTGTCTGCCAGTCCACCGAACTGTCTCGCAGCATCTTGCTTGAAAACAACGCTGCAAAAAGGGCCAATTTAACTTGTTGCTGGACACCCACCTTAATCTTAGCTGCCTTCCTGTTTGCTGTTGGGTATAACATTAAATAAATAGCTTCTGAAAATTAGGTGTCAATTTTTAGATCACTGTAATAACACAAGTTGCTAATTTGGGATGAGTGGCACGCAAGCTTGTTCTTTTCCCCAAGACTTTGTCTGACAGTGGATGAGGCCGTGATTATACATAAACCCAATTTACAATTTTTCTCTGAACCTCATTCCATTCCCTCTCCATTTTAGTACATTATAGCTTTTTTGTCTCAAGCAGGCTGAATTATCACTGCATCCTCATCACCTGTGAATCAATGTGGTATGTACAACTAGAACAGTAGGGATGTTATAGAAGAGGATTCAGCTGCATTACTTGAACTGCTTGGAGAAACTGGCATTGTGCTTAGCTCTGAGCAGAGCTGTTTGTTACTATCCTAGCCATCAAATTAAAGTCATTACATTTATTTGAAGGAAAAAAAAAAAAGACTTTTCCCTTACTGTCTTAATGTTCAGGGCAGGATTTTTAGGGCATTTAAGGTACAAGAGATACCCTTTTAAGAGGAGAAGGACTTTGCATCAAGGAGACTTGTACCTCTGAACGTAAAGCCTTTTCCCTTTCCGATGTTGAGATTACTCATCCAGCAGGGTGCCTACTTTCATGGCCAAGCTGGAGACACCTCTCTACTTTGACGTTTCCAGGTCATTATGGTACGGTGCCCAGATTGCTTTCATGAGGCATTTCGCATTCACTCTTCAGCAAAAGACATATGGCATCTGTACTCGGCGTAGTATTTCCTACACCTTTAGTTTATGTTGGCTGTTCTTGCGCCCTCTCCTTGTTTCAAGTGCTTTGATGGATCTGACCAGCATTTGTTGAAAGAGCTGTCAAGTCAGTCAGTTACTGTTGAAGAAATCTTTTCTCTGAGCCTGCAGTTCCTCAGTCCTTACAGGGCATCCCTTATTTTACCTCTTTCCACGACTTCCTTTAATTCCGTTTTGCAGTTAAGAACAAGCTAGTGAACTTGGCCTCCATTTGTATTTAGTCTTTGGAGTCTAATCTAGCAAATAATGGGAGTTACAAAGGCGAGCTAATCCTCTATTATCAGACCTCGTGGTGGGGGCAGCCCCCTGTCTGCACTGTGACCTGTAAGAAACTCCCCACAGACATCTGATCGATGGTGATACTAGTGTGGCGCACGCGGGGCTAAGCAGGCATGGGGGTCCTTTTGCCCCTTACTAGTAGTGGCAAATTTTGGTTCGGTTCCAAAGTGAGCTCTGCCCTTCTTTATGTATAGGTTGATGCCCACAAAGTAGATCCATTATCGTAGGAGGAGGTGCAACGTGAGGAAGATATCGTGGGTTGCAAAGAAACACCACTGGGACTGTTCCCAGTAACAATAAGTAACAAAGGAACCAAATGCAGTAGAGCCATTTGTGTCCAGGTGCTTCACAAGCTACTTCATTCACAGCAGATAGACATGCCTTGCAGCGGTTACCTGTGCTTGCATGCGGCTCTCCGCTGGGGCATAAACCCCCGTGTTCGCAGTCTAGCCCTACAAACCGTCTGCTGTGCTACTGTACTTTCAGACTAGACATTTTTCAATGAAAAGAGCTTGAGGTGTAACCCTCAAGTAGCCCCAGGTGAACACCTTTATTAAAACATTTCTGTGTTTTCTTAAAATTAGCATTTCTTAGAAAGTCTTTTCTCTTAGTCATTAGTGTTCCACATTCTCAGTTCTTGCCAATTTTTTCGTTTGTGTTTCTTTTTAAGTCATTCGGTTTTTACTGATTTACACCCATTTTTCAGTTCAGATGCCATGGCCCATTCCTCGCTCGTGCCAGTTAACAGGGATTTGAACTGAAAAATGGGTGGTGCCGGTAAACCAAAAGCACCGCTGTGCTGGTTACCTGAGGCACAGATTTCCACCCAGACGCAGGGGGCGGTCGCTGTGGCTACATGCAGGGGGTGGCAGTGGCCATGCAGGGGCCAGGGGAGGGTGTATGGGGGTGCAGGGCTCCAGGCTCTGACCCCAGGCAGAGTGGGACAGGCTGTGGGAATTGTTCCCAGGGTGCACAGATCCAAGCTGCACCCCAGCGCCTCTGGCATCAGCCCTGCACCGAGAGCTGCGAGCCCCAAGGGGGGGGGGGAGGGGGCGCAGCTCTACATGGGCCTGGAGCCACTGCCCGGGGGTGTGGAGCTCCCAGTTCTGACCCCAGGCAGGGCAGGACTGGCTGCTGGAATCGGTTCCAGGGCAGGCGGCTCTGAGCTGCACCCTGGCGGCTCCAACTTCAGCCCTGCCCTGGCCGTGGAGAGCTGCAAGCCCTAGGCAGTGGGAAGAGCCTGATGCCACCACCCGCTCCCAACCTGCAACAGTAGCCTGCTCTCATCCCATGCATAGAAAAGCCTGGTTCAGCCCTGCTCCCTGCATCCACTGACACCTCCCCCCGCTTTGCTCCCTGCTGCAGCCCTGGGAGCAGCTGACAGGCTGCACCGCACCCCTCCCCCTGCTCCTTCCCTAGTCCCAGCCTTACTCCCTCCCTCATCGGCAATTTCTTCTCCCCCCCCCCCCCCCCCCCCCCACGCC